ACAAAGGAAGGGTGACAAACCCGGAGTCTCTCTTCTTAGCTATTAGGCCAGGACTCCCTCCAAGTTAACTCAAGCTTAGGGGGCAAAGACACTCTGAAATCCATGCTAGGTCTTTCCAAGGGTCTCAGGCTCAGTGGCTAGCAACTTTGGTTATTTGACCCCAGCCGCGCCAAGAAAGCTGGGTAAATAAAGCAAGGATTGTCATTGCTGGGTCAGGTGAGGACCCCAGGCTTGGGAGGCGGGGAGGCTGGGTTGTGGAGTCCCACAGATGGCAAGGTGGGCACGGGGAGAGAATCCAGTCAGGGTGTGCGTTGTGTGCGTTTGTTGTTTGTTACCTTGTGTCTGCTCCTGGGGTCCGTGGGAGTATTTGAGCTTTAGTAAATGAGAGCATAGGCTCGGGAAGGTGGCATGGCTTCAACTCTTGCTCACGGCTCACTAGCTGGACGATTTCGGGCAAATTACTTAGCGTCTCTGTGTCTCCTTTTCCTTGTCTGTAGAATGGAGGCAATCACAGCTTCCACCTCATAAGGCTTTGTGAGGGAGGATTCAAGGAGATGGAGCATGTCGGGGGTCACCCAGCCCGTGGCAAGGGGCTCCTCAAGGGCAGCCTATTCGATCTAGTGCGTCATTCCACAGTGTCTGCTGGGTGACATTCCATCAACTTCACTGTGCCTCCTCTGGGTGTTATGTTTGCCAACCCGTGTACTCCTGAGCGCTTGGAAGACCTGCGTCGATACTTTCCGCGTCTTCTGTCCCCAGGGCTAGTTACAAGGTTAACCCTGGCATCCACTCTCAGACGCCCGCGCAGGCCCGGGTTCCGGAACCACGCCCTCTCCCCAGCCCTCCAATCCCAGGGCTAAACAGCGACAGCTACCTTCCCTCTCCCGGAAGCCTGCTTCCTTTAGCCACGCCCAACATTGTGTGGTCACGCCTCAGCCCTCCAATCCCAGGCGTGAGGCCATTAAGCCACGCCCATCTGTCAATTCCACGGCTGGGTGTGCCGAAGTCCTCCCACAGCACACCACGCCTCCCTCTCTTCCCGCTCTAGCCACGCCTTCTCCCCCACCGACTCCAGCACCGCCCCCCTTCTAGCACCTGGCCTGGAGCAGTCACTAGGTTGTGGAAGGGTGTGGGTCCCGGAGACTTTATTTGCCCGCAAAAAGGTCTTGCCATGGGAGGTTGGCGAAGTACATCTTGCCCTACGGACACATGAATCTCTGGGCCTCGCGGGGTAGGCAGAAGCCGACCCAGAGACCTCTGCCCACCCCCTCTTGGTCCGCAAGTGATCTGTATTTGAAAAACGTCTCCAGGGATCAATCTTCCGGTGGGGAGAAAAGAGCCAAAGGCACCTGGGGTGATGTGGGGATACCCCTCACCAAAGGCCGCTTGTTTTCTACCTTCATCCTCAAAGTTCCACCCAATCTCTGGAATCTATAGCAAGAGAGGAAAGCGTTATGATTGTTTTGTTTTGTTTTTAAAGGGGGGTGGTCAGAATTGGGCAGACTCCCTCCTGCTTCTAAGATACAAAACTTTAAAAAAAAAAAAAGGAAAGGAAAGGAAAGGGAAATGACAGTTCATTTACTAAAATCAACAAATTAACTACATATCGGTATCACTTGGAAGGACCCAGAGTGGGGGGTCATTCATCGCTGAATGAAGAGAGGAGTGAAAGGTAGATGGAAGGTGAGGAGGGGGCTTCTGGGGTCTGCCCCCAGCCACTTCCCCTGGATTTCTGTATTTTCGCTTCTCTTTTTCTCTTTCTCTGGGTCTCTACTCACCCCCTCATGATACGTCCGTCCTGCTCTCTCTGGGTTTCTATCCCCCATCTCTCTGGCTCTGCCTCTCTTGTGTGTCTCTGTCCTTTCTCTGCGTCTCTTGTCCCTCTCTCTGACTTCTCCCCTCCTCTCTGGGGTCTCTGTCTGTTTCTCTCCGACACTGAGTTTCTCTGCCTTCTCAGTCTCTGCCATCTACCTGGATTTTTGGCCATGCCCCTCCTCAGCCCTCCAACACCAGGGCTGAAGACTGTCCACGCATATTTCTCCCCATCAATTCTAGGGCTGTTACTCCACTCTACTCCTCCCAGGGTCCTCTTCTGTATCACTGGTAAGGGGCAAGTGATTAGTGTTCGCAGATAGAAGATTAGCAGAGGTGACAGAAAGAAGTTAGGAAGGCTTCTCCACCTTCCCCGTCCCCTGCCTTGGGCAGCACGCATTGGTGATGGTGGAGCCTATAAACGGACATCTACTTTGAGCCCACATTGTACTGTTGTGTGAGCAGGAGCTAACCTGCTGTTGTCCTAAGCCATTGAGATGTCAGGGTTTATTTGTTACAGCAGCTAAAGTTACCTTACTACCTACCATGCCCAACCTACCTTCTCATACAGAAAGCTGACAAGACCCCAACATTAAAATTCCTGAATCTTCAATTCACATATCCATCTCCAATGGTAGGACAATGTCTTCTCATATTAGGACCCAACTCACATCGTGCCAAAAGCTGAGTGAACATTTAAAGGTAATCTTACCCCAATCTTAGTCTCAATTCTACCTTTGACCTAACCTGACTCTGACCTCAGGTAAATCCCTGGCTCTGTTTCTGGTATAAACCCAAACTTGAATTTGTCCTTGAACCCAACACTGTCTTGGCCTAATTCTCTCTCTAATGACCTTGGCCCTGATACTACTCTTAAGTAAGTCTGATGATTATGACCCACTTATATCACAAGTCTGAACCTTAATCCTGGTCCTAAGCAGAGATTCACGCTGACCTTGATCTCTGTGTCAGTCCCAATCCAGCCCTAGATCCAAATCCAGCCCTGATTTTAGCTACAATCCTAGCCCAGATTTTGATTCTAGCTGTCTTAACTCTATACCCAGTCTTTACCCAGGTCCTGTGTACTCAGCCCTAACCCCAACCATAGCCATAACCCAAACACTAGGCTGGTTGTCACCTTTACCTGAATTTTTTTTTTTCAACGAGAGAGAGAGAGAGAGAGAGAGAGAGAGAGAGAGAGAGAGACAAGGGAGAGGGAGAGAGAATCTTAAGCAGGCTTCATGCCCAGCACAGAGCCCCACTCAGGGCTTCATCCTACGACCCTGGGATCTTGACTTAAGCTGAAATCAAGAGTCAGTCAAATCAACCGACTGAGCCACCCAGGTGCCCCATCCTGTACCCTGAACCTTAACCCTGTCTTCAACCCCAAACCAAACTCCACCAATACTGATTGCTACTGATCCTTAAGCTTAGCCTTAGCCTGATTCTGAATTTCTAATCTTAATTGGAACCAAACTCGGCGCTAAGAGTTTCATGTAAGTTGGAGTCATCCCTGACTTTTGTTTCTCTTTCACTCCCCACACCCAGTCCGCCAGTCAACGCTAACAGTGCTCCCTTCATGTTCTATCAGCGTTTGACTACTCCTTTCTGCCTCCACAGTCACCATCTGGTTCAGTCTACCATCATCTTCTTCCTGGATTACTTCAGTCACCCTCTCCCTAGGCTCCTTGTTTACTCTCTAGCCCCCCACCCCCCACCCCCCCAAAGGGATCTTGTTAAAACCTGAGTCGGCTCACATCTGTCTGCTCAGAAACCTCCCATGGCTTTTATCTCACTAGGAGGAAAAGTAGAAGTCCTACACTAGCCCCCAAGATCCTAAATAATATGGCCCCTTTTCTCTCTTTTCTGACCCCATTTCCTCCCACCCTTTCCTTGTTCACTCTGTTCCAGCCACCCTGGCCTCCTTGCTATTCCACACATACTCCAGGGACAACCCACCCTAGGCCCTTTGCACTTGCTGTTTTCTCTGCCTGGAATGCTCTTTCCCCAGGTACCCACATGCCCACCGCCACGTCTTTCGGGCATGTACTCACATGTCATATTTCCAGTAAAGTCTCACCATTCACCTTATTGAAATTGCAATGCCTCTTTCTCCCAGAATTCTCAGTTTCCCTTCTCGGCTTCATTTTTCTGTATGATGTGTATTATCACCTAGTGTACTGTGTGATTTACTTATTTATCTTGTTTATTGTCCATCTCTCCCCACCCCCCGCCCCCCATAATGTATAAGGTCCCCAGGATAGGAAGAATTGTCTCTTTTTGTTACTCAATGTCTAGAACAGTGCCTGGCATATAGTAGACACTTAATACCTTTTGAATGACCATGTGCTTCCTGAGAAAGATGCAGCTCCATTTCCCGGTGGTTCTGGGATGACTGGGTCAGAGAAAGAATAGTGCAGATGGGAGCAGGTGGCCGTGGCCACAGCTGCCAGGAGTGTTCAATTATATCTGGCCAACAGAGGGTCTAGCTCTGTCCCTAAACCTCTGTGGCCACTTCAGCCCTGGCCAGGAACTCACCCAACTTGGGGTTCACGTTGCCCACCTGCAGGGAGAGCAGCTGAGTAAGGTCAGAGCCTGGGTTCTCTTCCTAGCTTGTTCCTGGAACCAGGGACATCCATATATTCCCTGCTTTAGAACTCTCAGCTTCCAGTCCAGCTGAGAATGGGGTGAGGGTCAGGAGGGAGACTCTGCTCAACACTGGAGCTGGAACTGGGGATAAAGGTGGGGATGAGGCAGGAACGCAGTGGGGCTTGACACGGCCAGTGGCGAAGAAAGAAGACAGAGAAGGCCATAGAGGTGGAAGGACTGAAATACGACTGGACGGTGAAAAAGGGGCAAAAAAGAGAAAAATAGAGACAAACTGAAAGACGGAAGGTGGGAAACACATGCACATAGAAAGAGAGGTGGACAGAGAAAGAGGGCGTTAGGTAATGGGGAGAAAACGGGTCCCCCCCCAACATCTCTTCCGCGTAGCGTCTGTCCCAGTCTTCGGCAGCGCTTTCCTGCGACCGCAGACTGGCAAGCCAAAAAAAAACTACACTTCCCAGAATACCTTGTGGTTGGCCGTTCCGGAAGTAGGTTTACGGTCCACCAATCAGATGCCTCCGCGGGAAGCTTGAATTTCTAACTAAAGTCTGCGGGGAGGGAGGTAGCCGCGAGGCCGCCGCCCCTGCCTCCACCAGTTCCCAGGGCTGGTGCCCTTGCGGAGCCCAGCGGCTGGCTTCCTGATCTTGCAGGAGGACCAGCAGTTCCTGGGCGGCTATTTCTGGAGGGTAGATTCGGAAGTGCCTTGAAGGCTCAGCCTGGAGAGTTTCTTCATACAGGCTCTGTGTCCCCTAATAAGTTTACACTGGCCGGAGTGGATTCTGTTCGCCGCCACTCAGCGATAATGGGTACACAGGGAGAAGGAGATGCGGAGGCGGGCAGAAACAGAAAGTGATTCAGAGAGGTACGCAGAGATTCCCCCCACCCCCCCCCACCCCCAGCGGAAGCGAGCAGAGAGGCAGAGCCCTGGAGGGATACAAGGAGATGAAATTAAAAAAAAAAAAAAAAAAAAAAGAGGTGGGTGGGGGGAGAAAAAGAGCGATGGAAGGAGGCAGATGTGATGAGACAGACACCCAGAGAGGTACTGAAGGTAAACTGAGGCAGAGAGAGAGACAGAGGCAAGGGCAAGGGGGCCAGAAACCATGTGGCCGAGCTTTCTCCAGAATGCTGCAATGGGGCGTTTTGGCGGAGAGGACACTTTAGAAAGACTAAGTCACAGTTGGGGATAGGAGGATGGAGGGGACCCTGGGGAGGTCTGTACTTGCCAGACTCCCCAAGGCCTGGCCTGCTGATGGAGAGTTTTTCCAGTAGACTGTCTCTTCCCCCTCCCAGCCCCAAGCTTCAACAGCCCTGACTGAGGAAAACAGTAGTGTCCCTGAATGCACTCCCCACCTGCCTGTCACTTGCCCCGAAGCCCACTTCACTTGGGGAAGGGTGACCTGGTGGGTCAATCACCTTTGATGTCTGAGGCAGATGCCTGAGGGTAGAGCAAGACTGAAGGGGGAAGAGGAATGGAGGGAACAGAGAGACTGTCTGCAGGAGAGGGAAACGGAGTGGAAAAGAGAGGGGCCTGAGAGGCAGAGAGCTGGGGAGACTGACGCAGCGAAGAGGGAGCCCCAGGGGCAGAGAGAAGGGGACCCGGGGAGAGAGGGGGGCGCTGAGCCAAGCACACCGGCTTTAGGATTCCAGAAAGTGGACCCAGACGACCTGACTCCTCTGACTAGTTGTCCTGGCGTCACTGATGCCCCTCAGATCTCTGTTCTCTTCCTTTTAAGGTTGCCGGATAAAATCCAGGATGCCCAGCTACCTTTGGATTTTAGATAAGCAACAGCTAATATTTAGTGTGAGTATAGCTCCAACATTGCACGGGACATATTTATCCTTAAGGAAAATTTTTTTTTTTAATCTGAAATTCAAAGGTCACCGGACATACTGTATTTTTATATGCTACATCTGGCAACCGCTTAACCGACTGCGCCACCCAGGCGCCCCTAACAGGCTCCAGGCTCCGAGCCATCAGCACAGAGCCCGACGCGGGGCTCGAACTCACGGACCGCGAGATCGTGACCTGGCTGAAGTCGGACGCTTAACCGACTGTACATCTGGCAACCGTATCCCCATCCCTGTCTTGTTTCTGTCTCTTGTCTGTTTCGTGTTTCTGCTTGTCTTTCCCTCTCTGCCGGTCCACCTCTACCTTCTCTGTTCTCTCCAAATGACCTTGCTCTGATGTGCTCTTTCAGAGCCACTCCCGGAGACCCCCATCCCGGACCCAGGCCCCGCTCTTCCCTCCTTCCTCCCCTCCCAGCCCTGCCTCAGGGGCCATCTCCCTCCTCCAGGCAACTCCTTCTTTTTTCTTCATCTGTCTTCTCATTGAGGCCACCCTGCACCCCTAAAATCCGCCCCCCCCCCCAGAAGAGAAGGTTTGGAGGCTTTGAGGGAGTCAGGAATCCCCCATTACTCACCTACATCCTGACCTCGTCTCCTCTCCTTTCCACCTCCTGGGTCAGAGAGGTCAGAGAGATTCCCAAAGTCACACAGCAGACTAGAGACCACACTCCACCCTCTCCCTCAAATCCCTTCGAAGTTCCCAGCTTCCTGGTGGAAAAGTCCTTGACTTTTCCAGAAAATGGCCTGGCTAGGCAATATTTCTGAATACCAGGCAATACTTGTGGGCCACAGACCAGGACCAGACGTGCCTGTGGGGCCAGGAATGGTAGACTTTTGAGCATCGACTGTGTGCTAAGAGGTGCGGATGTGGCTTTCGGGCTGGCAACACGAGAACAGTGACCTGTCAGGGCCATTGCCATGTCCCTAGGCCTGAGAACATAGCAGGTGCTCAATAAATGTCTGCGGAACAAATGAATGAATGGATGGTTGACTGAATGAATGAAAAAAAAAAAAACAAAAAACCACACCCCGAGCAGCTGAGGACTCTTCTCCACGTCTGCTACTTGCTTTCTCACTTTGTCCTAGCCTCAGTTTCCTTCCTCCTACCCCCCTCTCTCGGTTTCTGTTCTTCCCTAGAATCCTTTTATTGTTATTTTTCAGTTGGAGGGGTCTCTACAAGTGACCACCGTGTGCTGAGCATCTCTTCTGTGTCAGGTACTGATGGGGTGATGCGCTCGTGGAATCCTTCTGGAATATTCCAGAAGGTAAGTACACTTTTGTAGGGTATTTTCCATACGTGGAGACTGAGACCCAGAGAGGAAGCGAGGCGCCCCGGTCACACCGGAACCAGCCCGTCTGGCCTCACCCTAAACCTGTCTCTCCAACTCCAATGCCATTCTTCCTCGTGCTTGGGACATCATCACCTGCCCAGCCATCTCTGACACCTCCAAAATGTAAGGGGCTTGGTATTAAACGTTTACCACAGGGGTTGCAAACTCAAATGTGTCCAGGGGCCAGGCAGGTGACAAAAACAGAGTGTAGGGTGGGGGAGGGGCTGATGCTGCCTGCCCTGGATGAGGGGTAGTGACTGGACCACTCCAGCCAATTCTGGCCACGTGGCTATCACCAGAGATGGTGCATCTGATGCCTCAGGAGGGTCCTGCAACCCACATTTTCGGAAGTCTCCCAAGGTTTAAATGCTGGCACCAAATTCACAGAAACCGCTGCTTGGGCCCAACGAGATCGCGTGTGCACCAGATAGGCCTGCTGGCGGATGGTTTGCAACCTCTGAATTGGTTTTAGTCCCGCATGCCAGGTTCTGTGCTAAGGAAGAATCTCCAGATTTTCCAGGAGAATCTATGCTCCATGAAGGCAGAGCTATCTGGGTCTGTTTTGTTAACCGCTTTATCTCCAGCACCCAGAATGGTGCCTTATAGATTGTACCTGCTCAGTATTTTTTTTTTTTTTTTAAGCGGATGGTGTATTGAATCCTAATATCGACCGTAGAAATAACATTAAAAACGTCTCCGTTTCATACATAGGGAGATGGAGGTTCTGAGGGACAAGGGCCCAGGGTTACATAGCAGCACTGGGATCTGAATCCAGATCTTACCTGACTCCAAAACCGTAACCCCAGGCTATCCTGACTCTGCTCGGGGCTGTGCGTTTGCAATGCTGTGCGTGTGGACTTGGGTCCAGGAGCGTCTTTGCGCGGCCGTCGTGCTGAGTATATGTGGTGCAGGTAGTGGCGTCCACCCTCCTGATTGGACACTGAGCCCCCCCCCCCCCCGCCCCAACCTAAACCTGGATGCTGGCTCCCCTCTGACACATTTGCTCTGGGTGCTGGCCCAGTCCAGAGAGAATAATCCACCCCTCCCCTCTTTCCCCCTCCTGAGCCCATCCTCAGGGGTCCCCCCACCCCCTCCCCTGGATACCCAGAGCCCTCGAGGGAAAGGGGGAAAGAATTTAGGATGAGGGTGGAGGTGTGGGGAGGAGGGAGAGGGAAGGGGATGGGTTAAGAAGGAGTGTGTGATGTCAAGCAAAAAAGACAACATTAGACACAGATGCTGAGATGGCGTTTATCGCGGCAAAAAAAGGTGAAGTCGCCGAGGGAGGGGGGGGAGGGGTGTGGTGGGGGCCGGGGTGGGGGCCATGGAAGCTAATACATGGTGCACTAGGTCACACGACGGACACTGGGGGTGGTGGGTGGGGGGGGGGGTGGGCGTGGCCCAGGCATGGCAATGTGGGGAGGGGGAGGGGAGAGGGCCGTGGGCCCCAGCCAGGAACTTCTGGAGGTGGTGGGGGGGTGGGGGGGGGGGTTGGTGGGGAGGTGGGCGGCTTCTCTGGTCGCAGAGGATGGAAGGAATCAGTTAGAGGGGGTTGAATGGAGGCACTGGAGGCATGGCCACATGGCGGATGGTCTGGGCCCAAGACATGGAACGTGGGAATGTGGGACAGCGGGCAGCGGGCCAGCTCTGGGCTTGGGCCTTTAATGTAAGGACTGGGGATACCCAAGGGACCTCACAGGTCCTCCAATCCCCCCATTGTCCAAGAGCGAGAACAGGCGTGGGAGAAGCTAGTTTAAGGTCCCCAGTAAGGATTTAGCGGTCTGTTCTCCGTAGACAGTCATCCCCTCGCCTCCACTCTCCTACCCTGTCTGTCCCAAACAGAGAAAGGGGCAGAGATGCTAACTCCACTGTGATCTCACTGAGGCTCCCCAGGGAACCTGGAGGACCAACCCATTTCATAGATGGGGACAACCGAGACATCCCGTCAGACTACACCTTTGCCACGCCTCTCCCACCTCCCCGTGGAGGGGATCGGTGCACCGCATTCCTCTGGGAGTGATACTGATATCTTGAAATCCTCGGCACTGGGGGCAGGTGAGAGGACCCACCTTGGGATTCTCCCAAATGTAACCGGAATGTGGGCCATGCCTCCAGGGGCCTGAGATGTCAACACAAAGAAAAAAAAATGACTCCCCACGTCCCCTGGCTCAAACCCAGTACAAAAGTGACTATTTACAATGAAGGGATGGGGAGTGTGGGGGGAGGGCACAGATAAGACTGGGGCCGGAGTCAGCGCTCCGCTTGCAGGAGGCCACGCCCCTGGCCCCGCCTTTGAAAGGGACAAAGCCAAACAGCAGAGATATTTATAAAGGGTCACTCTCCCCAGGGCGGGGAGGACCCTAAGGTGAGGGATGGGGTAGGCCATGGGATGGGGTGCGGGTGGGGAGGCATGGGCGGTGGGAGGAGATGGAGGAAAGGTAGCTGCTGCCCCTCGCCTCCCCCCTCCTCCTCGCCGGACACACAGTTTTCCGTGGGATGAACACAGAAAGGGTTAATCAAAAAGAGTTCGATGAGCGAGTCTGACGGTCGAGTGGGGCGGGCTGGAGCAATGAGGCCGCAGGTCCCGGTGGCCGGTGGTGATGGAGTCACTTAGAATATGAGAGGTTGGTGGTTTTGGGGGGGTGGGGTAGGGAGGAGGAAAGGTGTGCGGGAGGGGGATTAGGCGGTCCCCCCCACTTATCTCTGAGAGACAAGAATGTCCTGGACTGGCTGAGAAGGGGTTAAAAAAACAGCAACCCCCCCCCCCACCCTTCCCCACCCCCACAGAGACGTTCCCCATCTCCCTCCCTGCCACCCAGCAATCCCCAACGCGACTGGCAGGGGCCACTGAGACGGACCTGACGCACACCAGCCGCGGCGCCACCGAGAGAAGCCCCTCCACCACGGCGTCCAGACAGCTGACTGCAGTGTAGAGGGATCAGATAGCAGGGCTGGGTGTCGCGACTCCACGAGAGCCGTAAACTTGTGTCCCCGGCCCTCGGTGCCCCAACTTGGGCATCGCGATCCCGTCCTCCCCATCGTGACATCCGGTTCAGGCTTTCGCGATAGCCGGCCTCGGAGTTTCAAAGTCGGCGCGGGGCAGGGGCGTGGCCAACAGCGAAGGCCTGCCTGGCTGTCGCGAGAGGTGGGCACCCAATCAGCAGCCTGGACGCCCCGAATAGCCAGCCTCGTCGCCGCTCTTAGTTAATACTTTTTCCACCGCTCCGCGTATCACGACCTCGAGTCCTGGTCTTGCCACAGCGACCATCAATGCAGAGGAATCCCCTCACTTTCCAAACGGTAGGCCACCAATCAGAAACGAAGTAAGGAGGGTGGGGGATGGAGAAGTAGGCAAGAGAAACGGAAAGAGGGGAGAGTGCGGGACTTGGGGGCTAAGAAGGGGAGAAGAAATACCACTCCGAAAAGTGGTGCCATGTTCTTCCAAGTCTAGGTCCCCAACGGTCTCTAAGTCTGACTCTTACCAAACTCCGCTTGGGATACCCATAATTCCCACCTACAAGTCCGGGGCAGGCTAGGGCAGATAAAGGTGGCACACGATCTTCACCTTCTGATCCCCTAATAATTATTGCAGTGAAGCCTCCTTGCCCATGCAGAGATGGTTGGGACAGGGCAGAAGAAGGTGGCTGGGGCAGGTTGGCTCAGAGGCCCCTGAGACGGGGGATGAAGGAGGTGAATTTGGCACATTGAACCCCTTCTCGTTAAGTGCTTTGAGGTCCTTCTCTGGAATCCAGCTGGCACCTGTCCCTCGAGGCCAACAGAAGAGGGGTTGAGCTTGTCCCCTCCTCCCCAATTTCTACAGAATTGCCTGAAGGAGGCAAAGTGGGGTTCTCCCCGGCTGGTGGAATTTGGGGGGATCCAAAAGGTTAGGGGTTAGCTGAGAGGGAGTTTTTTTTTTTTTTTTTTCTTTCTTTTTTTTTTTTTTTTCTTACAAAGATTCTAAGAAAAACTCAGGGTGGGAGGGGTGAGGAAGGGGGACCCAATTTAGCTAAGTGTCCACAGACTTTTTCAATGCCTCTTAGGGGCCTCCTCAAAGTGAGATGGCTCCATTTCTCTCCTCTCTATCTGAGGTTCCCTCCCCCCAGAGCGGCTCAGTTCTAAGGAAGTTTGGCACTTTTTTGTTTTTTTTTTAATTGCTGGGGGAATGGGGGAGGGGAGAGATTTGAGAGGGTTGAGAAGAGGGCGAAAGACAGATTTAGACAAAGATAGAGACAGGACAGGTAATGATGGGAGCCACAAGGAGAAAAAGGTAGAAAGCTATAGGGAGCCCAAGAGAGAGGGAAGTTCTGGGGGAAGATGTTGGGAGTTACAGGGAGACAGTTTAATGCAGCAAACACTTATTAAGCACCTACTGGGTGCTGAAGAGCAGGGTGCAAGGAGGCCACTCAGAGTCTCTGAGATCTGATTGGCTGACAGGGAAGAGGAGAAAAAAAAAGAGGCGGTGGGTTTTTCAATGATCCCCATCCCTGACCCCACATCTGTGTCCCCTCTGGACACACTGCAGCACGAAAGATTGAGGTCAGAATGCAAAGAGACTTTCAAGGGTTGGGGAGGATGGTGGAGGGGGTTTCCTAGGGTAAAAATGGAGAAAGGTGTGTGGCTCTCCACTCACCAATCTGGTGAGTGAACTAGCTCACTGAGCTAGCAAACTACCTTTCAGATACCCCTGGCTGGTGGGGTAGGGGGGTCCCCGAGAAATGTGAATAGGGAGAGGGTTGTCACACACATACCCCAGGGGAACGTTTTTCGGGAGGCCCAGCCTCCAGAGACGTGTCTGTGTGACAGGACTACTGGGTCCTGCTGATTGGGACCCCGACCCCCTTGAAAGGGGCTATAGAAAGCATCTGACAAACCAGGGCAGCTGAGGATGCAAATGATATGCAAATTAGCGCTTTCAAATCCCACCTCCCCACTCCCAGACCGTGTTTTACCTCTCCCTGGCTCCTTCCCCTCCTCATGGGGGCCTGGGGGGCCGCAGGGGGATATTCCAGCTAGACACTGCAATACCCACTATGGGTGGAGATAGTGCGAAATACTGTAGGGTCTTTTGAGAGGTGGAGGGGAGCAATGGCCCACAGGGCCACCTCCACCTCCAACCCCAAGAGCCCGCCCCCCCCGCCCCCGCCCCCTGCAGAAGATATGTACAAAGTTACATCAAGAATTGTTTTGGCACTGGAATCTCCATCTGGGTTCAGTCTGGAGACTAGGGGTGGGGGCAGCAGCGATGGGAGGTGGGGGATGGGGAAATGGGGCCTGCCCCCCACCCTGGAGATGAAGAGGGCATGGAAAAAAGTCACCCTAGTGCCCAAGCTACAGCCTCCCATTAGGTGGAAGGGGCGGGGTGGGAAATTCAGTGCAAGGTACCTTGAAGGCTATTGCTTTCTAGGGATTTTCACATTTTGATTTGGGGGTGGCTCTCTAGCGAGGGGCAGGGGTCTCCCAGGCTTTAGGGGTGGGAATTGTCTCTGGCTTTTCTTCTCTCGTGTGGGAGAGAGACGAGGAGGCCTGATTCCCCCAAAGCCATGGGACAGAGAAGGGTCTGGAAGACCTAGGAGGGGAACAAATGGGGGAGAGGATGGGCATGGGTGCCCCTCCCCCAGAGATGCTGATGATGGAACCAGGGCACTGGGGGCCCTGCTTTGGGTTGGAGGGAGCGGAGGTGGTCTCCAAGGGAAAGGGGGAGATGGGCGAGGGTAGAGGTGGGTCTCAGCTATTCTAAGTCCATAGCGTTGTCAGGCCCTGAAATCTCAGCCCGCCAACAAGGCCTTAGAGCAGACCACAGCCACAGTGCTCAGGGAAGCCACTCCCAAACCATCTCTCAGGGCTGCCTGGCTTGACAGACTCCATCAGAAAGAACATTCTAGCGCCTCAGGGCCCGTGGTGAGAGAGCACCAAGACACTCGGATCCCTCCGATACTACTAAAGCACTCCAGCTTGCTGGAAACCACAAGCCAATCTAAACTCTCAGACCACACGGAGCATTCCAGCTCAAGGGACCCTGCCGTGGCTCACTGAACTCTACACTGGGGTCATGATGGCCCGACAGAGCCACCACACGTTTGGCTCACCAGACTCAATGGAACAAAGCCACGCGGACACGAGCATGCACACAAGAGGCGGGGTGGGAATGGGGGTCTTTAACAGCAGTTTTCACCAGCTCCATCTCCCACCCCTCGCTGCCAGGTGGGTTCACAGACTTGGCGTGTTCGGATAGAGGTGACCCTGACAATACTGGGTCTTTTTCCTTAGAGTCCTCCAGATAAGATCCAAGTCCCACCCCTCATTCTCCTCCTAGGAAGACCCCCGGGCCACGACCCACCAAAGAGGGGTGCGAGTGGAGAAGGAGTGTCAGTGACTGGCCATGGCCCAGTACAGGAAGTGCATGCTCCATCCCAGTGACGTCACGGGAAATACCCTGGAGATCCCACAGGAAGTACTTGCCCCCATGATATCCCTGAAGTAGCCTTCAAGGAAGGCTCACTGAGACATCATAGGAAGTACCTGTCTCTTCTATCATCACAGGAAGTGACCTCTGGGGAACTGCTTCCCGTGACATCATAAGGAGTGCCAGAAGCACCCCAGAAAGTACTTGACTCAGTGACATCCCAACAGAGACCTTCATTCCCATCACTCTAAGTAAAACCACCGAAGATGCCACCGGAAGTTGTTCCAGCCCGTCGCAAGAGTCATGCCCACAGGACTGGACCAATCCCAGAGCCGGCCTCATTCCCAGCAGGCACTGCACACCGCTCCCCCACCACAACAACCTGACAACAGAACAGTGAACAGTCCCACCTAGAAGGGGCAATTCCAAGAGGGGTAGAGCCGCTGAGAAGATCTGGGAACTCTGGGGTCCCTGCTCCGAATACCCCATTTCAGCTCAGATTCCTCGGCTACCTCTACTCCCATCCCTTCCTTCAGATCTGGAACCGAAAGCAGGAGAGGTGGGGTGTTGTTTTGGGGAGGCCCCTCATTCCAGGTGGCCCAGAGGCTCCCTCCCCTCCTCCCATATGGAAACAAAAACTTCTAAAGGTGAGGGGGGGGGGGCGGAAATCCTTACCAAAAAAACCAAACCAAAACAAACCGAAACAAACAAACAAACAAACAAAAAAAAACAAAACAAAAAAGAAGTAGAAGAAAAGGAAAAAAAAAAGAAAAAAAAAAGGAGGGAAAGAAAGAGAAAATAACGCTTTGTTTTCTATTAAAATCAACAAAATGCAATATATACAGATATCACACAGACCTGGGCCCTGGGGAGAGGAGGGTCAGGCCCAGTCAAGCATAGGGAGGGAAGGAGGGGTCAGTTCAGGGCTGGGGAGGGAGCTTCTGGGCCCCATCCCCAGCCAGCACTCAATCCTGCCTATGACTACCAGAAGGGGGGGTGCAGTCAGGCCTACCCCAGCCCCATCCCACGAGGAGCAGGACTACACCGAGCTGAGGTCAGGAGTTGGGGGTGTGGGGGAGGGGGAGGAGAAGGAAGAGGAGGAGAAGGGGCAGGAAGGAGGGTGGGAGCAGACACCACAGGCCTCATCCCACTTTCTGGGGGTTTGAGGCCCTCACTCCCTGCTCGTAGGTGACCCGCTGGCTGATGAGGTATTGAGCGGCTTGCGTGGCCGCAGGGCTGCCCGTGATGGTGACCCGCCGGTTCCGCGTGCCTGGCAGGAACTCCCCCTTCTTGGAGATCTGGATGCGGGCGCCCGTCAGCTCCTGGTACTCCACCAACGTCTTGCCCCCTTTGCCCAGGATGGCCCCCACCAGGTTCTCAGGCACCGCAATCTCCACCAGCTCCTTGGCACTCTCGGCCGCCAACTTCTCGGCCGTCAGGAAGCCCCCGG